CATGGATGTTCAAGATATGATGAGGAAAAGAAAGAAATGGTAGGAATTCTCTCATAGGGAGTGATAAAGGAGTGGGGCATATGCCTTTCTACCTCTCATTAGGTCAGTAGATCAAGACAATGCTAAAAGCTCCTCAAAGAGAATGGATCTCGGTAAATCACTGTTAAACATATGGGAGCGGGGTTTGTATTTGGCTGGTCTACTGTTGTACGCTGTCCAATGCAATGCTGCCTTGAAAGGCTGCAAAATGCTTATCAGCTTAAGATTTGGATCCTGCTGCAATTGTACACTGCATTAGCAATGTTGAATATTTACTACAATAGCTTCAGGTTGTACAGTGGGTGGAGTTGAGGTAGTTAATTATGGTGTTGTTGCTATTTCTCTCAGTGAAGCAGTGTCTGCAGAGGAAATTGATTTAATAGGATTTTGACTTTTCTCTGCTGGCAATCTTTATCCAGTTGTTTGTTTTTTTTTTTTTGAAATGTTTTGTGCTCTTTGTCTGACACTGACTGTGTCACTCATTTTCTAATCTTAAAGGCCACAGATGTGATTACTTGAGAGCATGCTAGAAGATCCATCTGTCTTTCCTCTAATGATCAGTCTTTACTACAGAATTACTACAGCATTGCTCTTGAGGCTTGTTGAGGTGAAACGTCCTTGCAACAAAGTACACTGCCTCTCTACTGTATTTGGGAAACAGCTACAACAGTGCTGGAAAAGTTTGCATCTTAGGATGACCTGAAGAAGGAATAGCCAGGACAGGGTAAGACACTGTCTTGTCAGTTATTGAATCTTGGAATTTGTTTATTGGTGTTTGCAATATCTGGTATATTCCAGAATAGCTCTTTGCAGCACCGAGCTGAGAAATATACATTATGTTATATGAATATACATTTTATGTAAAGTATATTACATAAGTCATCATGAAAGCTGCAGTAGTTCTAGAAATGAAAGCAAATATCATTTAATGAGAACATTTAGAATTCCATTGTAGTAAGATGGTAAACCATAAAGTGATTTGTATTTACACTCAAAGGACTGATTTGTTTCTCAATTTCTTTCATTAAGATGATAATTCATATTTCCCTAAATTTCAGGGGTTATTACCTCTGAACCTCAGATTTACCACAGTGTTAATGTCAGTTACTTTTTCTGCCAGGTGCGTGGATAAATAATTTGTTTTAGTGGAAACACTGGTTTAGACTGTGTGAAAGCACTAGGAAGAGAGCAACTGAATGTAGAGCTTAAATGCTGAGTCAGTAATCATATTTTGAAGGACAGAAGTGAGATAGAGATAAACCAGTGGCCAACTGGAATTGTTAGATAACCATATTGCAGTTTTTTTAGATAACGTTCTTGCTGCAGTGTAGAGTAGCTTGGTAGGCTGAAGTCTACTCTCTAGCCACTCCTGTTACTTTGGGTTCAGAAATACATTCAGTCTTGGCTTGTAGCCTCTCATGTAGGGAGAATAGGAGCAAATATAATATCTGCTCTGGACTCTAACCCAGCTCTGGAGGTGGGGCAGAGAGTGAGAGAAAGAATGTATGGGTAGGTACAGGAGGTGTGTCTGGTGTGTCTGTGTTTATGTGTCTTTGTGTATCTTCCATTCTTTCTGGGGGAGATGATGAGAGTCCTTCCAGTGCTCTTTTAAATGCTATAGGCATATGTTACTTAAATTTTGAAATACACTTGATGAGAAAATATCTGTAGAAAAAGGAACTTCAAGTAATGCTGATACAATATGGGAGCAAGTGAAGCTCTGTGGTGGACAGTTTCAGCCTGTGTAATGTGTATTGGAACCCTGAAATCTGGCATCTGGTAGCTCAGTTTCACATTTGTCATTCTGCAGTGACCTACTTTAACTGCTTAGTAGTCATGCACTGGAGGTCCTGTGGAGTTCTGTTTTTTTGAGAAATTGAGTTGTTCAGAAATCCTACATTCACCCTTGTGCTGCATTCAGCCTTGCTGATTGAAGCAGTGCCACCTGTGTTTCTGACAAAGAGGTTTATGGGTGGCATTAACATTACACTCAGTTGTAGCAGAATAGACCACTGATATGTGCTCAGTAGAAGGAATTTGCTTTCAGTAGAGGAAATCAAAATATCCATAGGTTCACACGTAATTAGAAGCTTACAAACAGATGGGGAAGCTTCTTTGAAGTCATGTCATTATATCCTACCTGTGAGCTCTTTAATGCTGGTTTTAGCTAGGGATTATTTTGTGAGCCAAGTTAGTAGGTGTAGCACATTTGTTTACTTTAATACATTCTGAACTGCTTTTGGCAGGTTGTTAGGTGATTTAATATTAGGTTATGTCAGCAGAGGATGTTGATTCGTTAATGTACAACTGAATGTGCTTATAGTGTGCACATGGAATATTTTGTGGCATCATACCTTTAGGCTGCTTAGGTATTGCATAACTGTAATTTCCCTGGAGAATGTATAGACATACTGCAAGCACTGGATGAGTTGCACTTGTCCTTGGAGCAAAGTATGCTAAAAAGAGAGCTATTGACTAAAACAGGGAAATGAGCATAAAGAAAACCCCAGAGAAAATGCTGCAACAGAAGCATAATCTAACATGTTGGAGTAGTTTTCACACCAAGAAATTAATTTACACCAAGAAATTAATTTCAAGCACTATCACCTATTTGTGTGTGAGGCCCTGACTACCTGCATAAAAGCCGGGTAGAAAAGTTGGAAAAGAATAATGAGGTTTACTAGCCTTTTTCAGGGCTTTGTGTGGGCTGTTGGGTTTTTTAATACCCTCAAGGAAGAGCAAGCTATTAAATGGGCAAAAAGAAGAAAATACGAGTTTATGAAAGTTTAAACAATATACAAAATATATTAAAAAGTAAATATTAGTAGGAAAAGTAAGTACTACTATTTGATTTTAGTAGTGACTTCCCCATCCTGACCAGGAACTGAGAAACAAGAAAATTTGTCTTCAGGTTTGTTATGAGAACTGCTGTCATGTGCTTTTTTAGCATTTTCAAAAATCTGAAAAAACAGACTATTCAAATCTTTCATTTTGAGCAGCTTTCTTTACTTCTTCAAGTCTGCATTGCTTTTGAAAGTGGTGTGGTATGGGTTATTTTGGTCAGAGGTGATGCTGAATTAAGTGTAAAAAACAACAATAAATTAGCAATTTGTTTCAGTAATGGTAGCATTTAAATATCATGCCTTTTTTTTCTGAGCAAAATAAATCTAAAAGACAATACACAAGTTAAACTCTCTAACTGCTTTCTTTACATCAATCCATCTTTCACTATTGACTTTCTAAACCAACTGCCTGGTAGGGTTGTATAGTCTTAGTGGCTCTTGTACTCAGATGTGCTGAGCCAGTGATTAATTATAATGCCCCATACTTGAGGCATCAAAATTGAGTAAAAAATACAGGAAATTGCTGAAGAGGGGGAAGATGCTCTATGTGTGCTCCTTAGAAGGAGGACATTAGAACTTAAAGCTGTTGTCTTTCTTCCAGTTTGTGACCTTCTGAGCAGATGCAATGTGATTCCTTTATGAGTAGCTGTGTCAGATTTGTGGTCTTACCCTGTTGAAAAGTCCAGGCATTTTTATGCCTGGATCAGGATACTTGAAGTGATTTATGATGCACATAAATGTGATGATAGAATCATGTAATGGTTTGGGTTGAAAGGGACCTTTAAGATCATCTGGTTTCAAACCCCCTGTCATGAGCAGAGACACCTCCCTCTAGACCAGGTTGCTCAGAGCCCCATCCAGCCTGGCCTTGGAACACTGCCAGGGGTGAGGCATCCACAGCTTCAGTGGGGAAGCTGTTCCAGTGCCTCACCACTCACACAGTAAAGAATTTTTTCCTAAGGTCTGGTCAAAACCTACAATCTTTCACTTTGAAGCCATTCCCCCTTGGCCTGTGACTACATCCTTTTGTAAAAGTCCCTCTCCAGCTATCTCATAGCCTTCTTCTGGTACTGGGAGGTGCTCTAAGGTCTTCCCAGAGCCTTCTTCAGGCTGAATAACTCCAACTCTCAACCTGCCTTCATAGGAGAGGTGCTCTAGTCCTGTGGTCTACTTAGTGGCCCTCCTTTGGACTTGTTCTGACAAGTCCATGTCTTTCTTGTGTTGTCTCATCATCCAGATCTGAATGCTTATATGGTGTCTCACAAAAGCAATGTGAAGGGGCAGCATCCCCTCCCGTGCACTGCTGGCCAGAGGTATGGGCTGCAAGGTGCCAACTCATACTGAACTTGTCATCACCAACACCCACAAAGTCCTTTTCCTCAGAGTACCCTCTGTCCATTCTCCACCCACCTTGCAATTTGTGCTTGGGATTGCCACAATCCAAGTGCAGGACCTTGCACTTGGCCTTGTTGAACATCATGAGATTTCTACAGGTTCACCTCTCAGACCTGCCTAGGTCCCTCTGCACAGCATTCTTTCCCTCCAGTGTGTTGATCACATCATAACAGCTTGGTGTCATTGGCAAACTTGCTGAGGGTACGCTCAATTCCGCTGTATAAATGCCTTCTCCGTGAGGACATGGTCACCAGGTTTTCTGCGTCCTGTATCTCTCCTGAGAGGATCGGCATTTTCCCAAGTTTATCTTTGATTGCTGACATACCTAAAGAACCTTGTTTTTTTCTTACCCTTGACTTCCTTTGCCAGATTTATTTCTGCCCATACTTTGGCTTTCCTAACAATCTCTTTGGCCAATTTCTGTGTCTTCCTCCCAGACTACTTTTCCCTGCTTACACTCTCTGTAACCTAGCTGTTTAAGTTTCTCCAGGAGCTCTTTGTCCACCCATGCAGGCATCTCAGTTTTCTTTCTTGATTTCCTCTTTGTAGGGATGCATTGCAATTGAACCTGAAGGAGACAACTCTTCAATATCATCCAGCTCTTTTGGGCTGCTCTTCCCTCCACGGTTCTATCCATGGCACTCTACTAAGAAGATGGCTCTCAACTAAGAAGATCCTTGAAGATGCCAGAGTCTGCTGTCTTGTAGTCCAGGGTAGTGTTCTTCTTCCCATGCTCCTCATTCCCCCAAGGTCCTTAAAATCCACTGCTTCATGGTCGCTGCAGCCCAGGCTGCCCTTGAGCTTCACATTCACTAGCTCCTCCTTGTTGGAGAGAACAAGGTCCAGCACAGCACCTCTGCTTCTTGGCTCTGCTGTTGCTTGGAGAAGGCTGCTGTCATTAGTGTATGCTAGGAACCTCTTGGATTGCCTCTGCATGCTGTACTGCCCCTTCATCTTTGGCATCTTCAGCTTTTGTGATGGCCAGTGTTTCAGTTTGATTGGAAAAAGAAAAAGGGGAAAAAAAGCATCACTGTGTGATTGTGTATTCTGGAGCCAGATGATGAGAGTATTTGGGGTGAGGAAGAGCTTTTTAAAGCTCCATGAACAATAACTATGCATATTTCCTTGTTCCATAGCAAATATTAAGTAGAATTTGTAATAGGCTGCCTGTTTGATGAACTTTGGATTTGCTTCAGATGAGAGGTTTCTGAAGTAGTTTCTGTGTCATTCGGGCCATGCAGTCCTGAGCACAGGCATGCATTCCAGGAGATTTCGACTTTGCTGAGCCTGCCCCTGGATCACTCTGTGGCACGGCTCCCAACCACAGCCCCAGCTGTGTTAAGGGAAAATACATCGTTTTCATCTAGGAAGCTAACTGCTTTTCTGGCAGGACAGCCATCTCCCTTCAGTTTACGCTTCTGCAGTCTTCTCACTTTCACTGGATTCTGCCTTAGCCAAACTAAAAAAAAGCTGGTAGCAATAAATGTATCCCTACCTGGGAAAACAAATTACAGTGTATCTTACTGCCCTCCTGTGTTGCCAATCAATGCAGGTCAGGGGAGTGGCGGGGAGCGCTGGGAAGTTCAGGCTAATTTGCAGGTTATGGGGAGCTTGTGGGCTATAGTGCTTGTAGCCTTACTTCATGCTGGTCAGGTGCTGAAACATGGCTTATCTTTGAACTGCATGAATTTTGAAAGACTGAACACAGCAGTTTGAATTGCAAGATACTGAATTGTGAGATATTAAATTGCTTTTAACAGATATCTACTGGGAACTTACTGATGATTTTCTTCTCTCAGAAATTTTGCACGTTAAGCAATTGTTGGTATTTTTTGGAAAATATATCCGTAATGCATGAGAACTACAGCTTTCTGTATTCAATATTCAAGCAGTGAGCAAAACCTTGTTTGGTTGGCTTCTTAATATGCTAAGTCTGTATTTGATCATTTAGAAAATAATTTTCTTTTAACTGAAGCAGCCAGAAAGCACCACTCGTTCAGTTAACCACACCATAGGAAAACTCTTATTGAATGTGCAAGTTTAACAAAAAAGGAGACAATGGAACACAAGTCCCAGAGTACAGTTTCACTTGAAAGTAGCATCTCCTCTGCCATATAAATTTTTTTGAATAGAATAAGATACTGTGTTTTTAAGCTTGGCTTGTTTTTTTGGTCTTATGTGTTGAAGTAGAGCTTTGTGAAGTAGTAAGAAACTCTTGTGAGTCATAAAAGCAGGAAGTTACTTCAGAAGACACTGTATTCGTAGAATAATTTTTTTCAGTTTATTTGTGAAATAATAACATCAGTTGTAATCCAGATTAATGCAGCATCACTCCTTCTCGGTATATTAAGAAGTAGATGTGGTTTAAACCATTCTAATAATGCAATGTTGATATGGTAGCGATTTTTAAACTATCTTAAAAATACCTTTTTCATTATATGTAGTTTTTAACCATGAAATTTCTAGTTTTAAATTTCTGAATTAATATGAATAACCATATGATAGACAACATTAGTGCTGGCATTCTTAAACAGAGAAGAAATAAAATTAAATTGAGTCTGCAAGGACATAGCTTGTTATTTAAGGTAAGAGCATGGTTTGGTACCATTTCCCATCTCAGAATAACTTCTCCTATGCAAATACTACTAGCCAGTTGATGTTTTGTATTTCTGAGAAAGCTTAAAGACAAAATGTTGTGGGAGCTATTAAGGTAAATTTTTCATTGTCTCAAAAATATACCATAGTTTCAATTACCACTTAAAAAAATTATCTTAGATGCAGAAAGCAAAAATGTTTTTCATAAAGGAAGGCTAGGATTAGAGGGAGATTGAATAATTTGACTGCAAGTAGTGTGTGGATTCTACTTTGTTGTTATCTGAGGAAAAATCCTGAGACTGTTTAAACTATGTAGTATAGTGATAGCTTGAGCAATAGTAAGTTAAATGCTAAGTCTTGTAAGTTGTCTTCTTTGGACAAAAGCTGTGTATTTCAGGGCTTATTTCTTTTTTAATACCTTTAAAAAAATGTCTAGAGATGAAAAGAATTAAATACCTACAGTAATCAATTCTCAGCAATATAATAACAGAAAGAAGTACCACTATTAAGATAATAATAATAATCATTGTCATCATCATATTCTTTAACTTCAAAGTACCCTTTCCATTGAAGAAAATCTCTAGACAAATGTATATGAAAGGCTTAATGGGAATACCAAGCAACCATGTTTATAGTACGGTATCAATTATAAGATGGGTAAAAATGCTTTCTAAGCAAGATTGTACTCTTTACAGCAGGGAGTCATCAATGTGGTTTTTTTTTTTACTTATTCAGAAAATAAATGCTAAGCTTCATGATGGAGTGTGTCAGCATTGCAAAGGTATCTTGGAGTGGCGAGTAAAATTCAGAAAGTACAAGCTACTGACAAAACCTAAAAAATGGTGAGTAAAAATATTTTTTGTTAGTTGTTGATCATGTAGTTTTTGGAGCTTTTGGAAAATATTCTGGCTTTGGAAACTCAGAAGAAGAAGCTGCTATTATGCAACATTTCAAAAATGTGGGGTCTGCAATGACAACATATAGGCAATGTTAATTTTCTAATTCATAAGTCTTTTGTCTTAAACTTCTGAAAAGAAGACACAGAGGAAGAGCAACTACGTCCCTCTTTGCTGTTAAAACTGGTTGAACTGTGGACCTGTAGGTTTCCAAGACTGCCAGTGTCATCCTGAACAAAAAGTCCTACCTGAACCTATTGTAAGATGATTTTCTAAGGTCTTTTTTCACATGAAAATATTGTTTCACATGAAACATTCTTTAGAGGGATCTGCACATCTCTTGACTTCTGTACTTTGCTAATATTTGCAATACATGCATTTCATTACCTCTTAGCATGTTTTCTCCTTTTCTGTAAGAAACTATAATCCTAAGTAGTAAATGTTGGCATTGTTTGCATAGAGTTGTTTTTGTATAACTGTATGAAAAAGATGATAAATACTTTAACCTATCACAAACATATAAATTATTCTAGTTTTCTGAAGGAGATGCTCTCTGCTTCCTTCTTATTTGCTGAGTTGCAGAGGTCCTTACCTCCTGTGGTAGTAGACACAGTCAGTGTTTCAGCAATGAAACATAGAACTTGGAGAAACCACAGCTGGGCTGTGGTGCACAATACAGCCAGGTTTGTCACAGTAGCTTGTATTTTGGTATTAGTAACCAGTCTCACCCTTTCATGTAAAGAATAAATGATTAGATAGAAAGCTTGCTGAATAAGAAATAAGAATTCTGTGTTCTGTGTACCACAGATGAAGTTGGGGTTTTCCCTTTTTCTCAAATAACTATGTTATTTGTGCATCCTGTTTGTTTTTAGTTTTTGGGTTTTTTTCCCAAAGGGAAGAAAGCAGGCAAAACTCCCATGTAAATCAGGGAAGCATTGGATGTAGAAAAGGTGACATTTTAGAACAGCAGCTTATAACAGAATACGTGATGTTTTCCCTCATATTTTCGAATGAGGAAGTTGTGCCTCAGAGCATTCTAGCTTTACAGGTGATGATTTCTATGCCAGCAGTACAATGGCTGTGTGAGCAATTGTTCTGAAAGGACAAGACTATGAACATTTTCAACAGATGAAGCTTCTGGGTGAAGTAAAAGTGTAATGGACATTAAAAATGTGACAATTAAAAAAAATTGAATTCTTTATATTGCAAAAGATGGGGATGGGGGACTTCTCTGTATCTCAACTTATTTTTAGTTTTGTAACATCTTTAAAATTATTAGTGTTAGTACAACCACAAGTATTCCCTAATTTACTACTGAGTATTTAATTATTACAAGTGAAACTATTTAAAAAAAATATAAATCTGCCTTGCATTGGTAGTGCCTCTGTTTAGTATGACATGTCTGGGAAGAACTTTTGAGGGCATTACAAATTACTGTCAAGAGATCAACATTACATGGGGTATATTGTTCTGGTTATGTTCTCCAGATATACAAAGCTTTTGAAATGTCAGCTGAATGTTAAGACACAGAATTTTGGAAATTAGAAAATCCACAGGATATTATCATATTTTGAAAAAGAATAGCCCAAGCCCTTTACCCTATTAGGCTGGGTTTGTTGAGAATCCTGTTCCTTGCAGGCTTGTGTTCATACAAGACAAGGTCTAGCACTGACTCAGTTTATACTCTGAGAAGTTCAAGAGGAAGTAATTTCAGTGTTTCAACTGAAAGCTTTTTATTTGTAAAGTCCATGTACTTTTTTATGCCATATGCTGCTTTTATCATTAAACCGGAAGTAATGCAATTTTAAAGTAAAAACTACCTACTGAAATGAATGGAAATGTTTATTCTGTCAACTTAAATTTAAAATTCTTTATTTAATATTTCTTTTTAATTACTTGTCTTAGTAATTCTTTCTGAGGAAGGTAAGGGAAGGGGGTGAACAGCAATGATTTTGATAATGCTGCTTGATAAAACACTGAGCGTTTAATTTGAAACCAGCCTAAAATGTGTCGTTCCTCTTTTGTGAGTGTTTATTCCTCTTTTGTATATTGTATTTGAATACAGACTGTTTAGTAATTGTCCAAATATTTTTTAATCATATTTTCTTTCTCTTCACAGTGTGAAATGCCTCCAGAAGACTGTAAAAGATCCTTATCATATTATTTGTCGACCATGTGCTGGTAAACTAGAAATTTGTGCTAAGTGTGGGAAACAAGAAGAAATAGTGATTCCGTAAGTAGCTCATAGAGTACATAGTTTCAGTCCTGATAATTCCCTTTTCTAATAAGCCTTGTTTGGAAACTGCCAAGAAGCTGTTGTAATTTATGCCGTATTCTCAATTATCCCAACATGAATCAGTAGGAGTCATTTTCCTCACTTTCTTCAGATGCAGCTGGGGGTAAAATGCTTATTGATGTTAGTGAGGCTGAGACAACTAAAGTCCTACTTGGATAAGACATTTTAACACCAATGGGTAAATTGTGCACTTCAAATGTAGAGCATCATAAAATATGCATAAGCCACTTTACTGTTTGCATTTTGTCTGCCACTTGATGATGTTACTAGTGAACCGAACAACTAATCAAGGACTGATACCGAGTGTAGTTACCACAGTACATTTAGCAGGCTTTTGGTTATTTACTGTTGTTCTCTATTGAGCATGATACGTAAAACATTAATTTACTAGTTTGTGACAACAGTCCAGCAGTTGCTTACTTGGTAAAGCTGTTCAAATATTTACTTTTCTTTCTTTACAGTCTCTTCTGTACTAAATACTACTTTATGCGTACTTTACTGTGTTTTATATGCTTCCTATTTAGTGTGAAGTAGCTTTAGGGACTTCTATTGCCCCTCTCCTCCTTCTTCCCACCTCCTGCCATCTTCCGTCCTATATTGGGATGGAATGCTGGGAGGATATTCTATCCTTCATCCCATTCTTGTTTAAATTCCAGAAGTGGGTGGTGATAATATCCCTCTTGCTTTCTACAGGATTGATAAAGGACAAGACAGAACTGACAGTGAGACTTCTAAAACTGGCCAAGAGAGAAGTAAATTGAAGGATAAGCTGGATTTTGATACAAATTTCAGTAGTGCAGACAGTGATGAAGATTCTGATGTGCTTGAAGAACAATTCAAAAGTATGAATTTTGAAAAAACAGAGATCTAAAAGGTTGTGTTTATGCATGAGATTATATGCAATCAAATATGGTAAACCAGTGCTTGCCCTTAAACTGCTCCAAACTCTGATTATACATCTAAAGTCCTTGTATGTTAATTTTGGCATTGTGTATGATGATGCACGTGGGCATTTGTATTAATACACAGTTTTGTGTATTAGGAACAGAAATTCTTTGAAAAGAATCAGAAATTCTATCTGTAAGCATAGTTATTTATTTCATACATATAACAACTTCCTGTTTTTATGGAATAAAATCTTTTTGTGTAATTGTTCGAAATTCAGTATTATGTGACTGTCGGAAGTATTATTGCTACCTGGAAATCTACCTGAAAGTCTAGAATAAACACAGACAGGGAGAGCTAAAGCAGCTATAATCGTTTTCTGAAGGAAGAACTTGCAGCAGTCTGTCAGTGAGTTTCCAAATGGGGTCTTACCCTTATGCCTGAGGGTTTTTATTCAGGTTGTTTTTCCCCACAAGAAAGAAACAAGTGTGTAAATGCCATCACTGGTTCATGAACAGTTAAACCTTATTTACCACGTATAAGTGTGCATTACAGATTTGTGACCTTGTTGCTACCAATGTTTTGTAAAGAAGAAACCTGCACACTTCAGAATTTCTCATCACACTTTCTTTTAATTTTCAGAATTCAGAGATTCATCTGGATCTCATGTAGTTTTCTCTGATATGAAAAGATTTGCACAGCAGAATGATGCATATAGAGTTATGCCCTTCCCAGTTTCTATTCCAGTGTTGGTTAAGCTGTACAAAGAACTGAAGTTGCAGTAACTGTCTTTACAGGATTTAGGATGGTTTGATTTCTTTTTGCTGTCTTCTTGCTCTTTACATTTAATTAACAGTATATATATGCATTAACCTATGACAATATGCTATGCCGCATCTGCTTTGATGCTTTGCCTGATTTGCAATAGTGAGCATGGAAAAACTTGATTCTCAAACTATATTTTTCAAATACTCTGTGAGGAAATGCAGCTCTAAGGTTGTTGCCCATCCCTGCCTTGAAGGAAATACTGAAACTTGATCCTTTGGGTGCTGATAGGCACCCAATGTCTGTCCTGTCAAGCTGGAAAACACCAAGAAGTGTTCAGTGGCAGAAAAGGAGGTTGTCAGGTATGTTCAGAAGTGTTGGATCTGAAGGTTATCTGGAGGTTTCACTGACAGATAAGTCCTCCCAACAGGACAGCAATGACATCTGACTTAGTGTCACATCTGTTGTCCTGCCAGTTGATGTCAACAAGGGGAGAGTAAACAAGGAATATCCCATGTATACACTGCAGATGACCAGATAGGAGGGTTCATAGAAGAAAGTTAATAAGTAATCTGGATCTAGCTTCAGAAGGGGTCTCTCTGAAGGGGGAACCTAAAGTGAATTTGGCTTTTGAAAGTGCCGTACATATGGGAAATGTTCTTCCACTTGGAAAAATTAATAATGGCCTTGTTCTTTGTTGAAAGGTGAGAGGAAATCCTTGAATGATAGGAAAATATGTGATGGAACTGGCAGAAGCTGTATAATGAGAAAATAAGGGGAAGAATTCTCTTCTCATAGTGGTGACACAACCTGTCAGTATCAGGAGTGAGCAGAGTGACAGAGATAAACAATGTGTTGCAACACAGTGCAAAAATGTTTGTACAAAGGGAAAGTCCTGTGAAGCCTTCATGTCACACTCCTGATGCTCTGTTCAGAGCTGGTACTATAGCTGATGAAACTGTGCTGTGGTTGAGCTCAGCTGCAGTGGTGGCTGGCTGGTGTTAGTCCAGCCTATCTGCAGACAGTTTTGGTTCTGGCAAGCCTTCTGTCTGAGGTTCAGCTGTGGCTGAAGGATATACTGCTGGAAATAATTTCTGCAACACCGTTTAACATGGTGGTTGTGAGTCAGCTTACAAAATGGCAGCTTTGCAAGGGAAAAGGAGTTTGCATTTTACTGAAGATTAGGATATATTTGGAACTGCATTAAGCTATTATAACTCATACTATAAGAGTTCTGAGTATCAGGGGTTTGGTTTTCTTGTCTCTTTTTGAGGAACTTATTGAACAGAGGATAATGCAGGAGTAGGACCTCTTTGAATGCTGATCTTCAGTACAATCATACAGAAATTAGAATATTTTTAAAAATGGAGATCAAAAGTCATCAAAGATTTTTGAGATCTTCAAGGTAGTCATACAGATGGAATGATTTTTAGTTTTAATTGAGATTTTGAAACCTTTCTGCCTATTCTTTTACAAATAATAATGAACTTGTGTCTATAAACTTAGGAAATTAAAAATACCACAATGCCTGCAGGGTGCTGAGATGCAGTTTAAACAGTATGACTGATCAGAGGTTTCAGGATTTGTCTGGACCTTGCAGTGCCTCACCAAATGCATTACTGAAGAAGAAAATGATAGATGTTAATTAGTCATCTGAAGAATACTTGATGCATCACTAGTGATGCAGTGGTGTTGCTGACAGCTGAGTTCCTGTTACCAGGTTGCCCTTAGGAGTGTCATTTACTATGACTCAACACTGAAGTAATTAATTAGGTAGTGGACTGCCATTATGGGTGAGGCAGGCATCCCAGATGATTCTTACTCCACAAGGGGAAATACTCATCATATCTGGAGCTGCCAGAACTCGACATGCTTGACTTGTACACATTTCTGGGAATCAAATTCCTATGCATAGGGATTTCTTGAGACAACTGGATCCATTACAATATGACGAGAGCCTGATGTGGACAGAGTGCTACCTCCTAGACTAATTCCTTAACAATCTTCCCTGTCAAAGTTCACAGGCATCTCTGAGACATCCTATCATCAAATGTTTTGAAGAATCAGGTAATGCAAAAAACATTGCTCCATGATTTACTTCCAGTTTTTCATGGGCTGCACTCTTCTGTTCTTGTCTTGCCTACTGACTATTCTGTATTCATGCAAAATACTGTAATAATACCAGCCTCTGAAGGTTTATAGAACTACTGGTTAATTAAGAAAAGTACAGCTTGCTTTCTCCCTGTAGTGGGCATGTACTTGGATGTTGAGATGGAAATCACAACATTAGCAAGGAAAATAGGAGAAAATATAGCAGGTCATCAAGTGTGAGCCACCTTGTAAACCTCTAGCTCTATAATTATGTATGTTTTCTTTGTTTAGGTGTTCTCATAAGTAAATGTATGCTGGTAGAAAATGCAAAAGTAAGTGCTTATTGGAAGCATCAGCCTGACTGTCAGAGTTAATGAGGAAAGCTTTGTAAGTGACAGGGAGAGATGCTTTTCTTTATCAGATGTTTAGGGAGCTGCTCATGCAAACTGCCAGCACCTCACTTAATTTTCCTGCCTACCTTTCATCTGAAAGCTAATACAATTCAAAACTCTTGGTGAAAAAGAAGGTATGAACTCTGCATACATACTCATCACATATAGTGAGTTTGTTTCAAAGTTTAGGAATCCTACTTTACAATTGAAGTGTGATCTTTCTGTGGCTTGATAACACATTCACAGACAAGTTACCTGTAACAGACTAGAAATAAAACATTTGGCTTATTTCAAGTAGCAGACTTTTCTTCTGGAGCCCCTAAAAATAGTTAAGATGAAATCACATTAAAATTATCTTTTTTTTTTTTTTTTCTGAAGTCAATAAGAAAAACATCTATTTGTAATAATAGGGGTAATACTCATAATGCAGTCATCAATAATAAATTTGAGGATATAAAAACAGGAGCCAAAGGCATTAAGATTTTACCTGAAAAATCTCTCCTTGCATTTGCCCCTGACATAACTTCAGAAACCCACACTGAAGGATCAGCTGTATTCTTATAAATGCTTTGAAAATGGCACCAAATAGTTTAATAATTTCCTTTTAAACTGCAACAGAGAATACCATGTTTTTATACAAAAACAAAACAAAAAAGGTTTATGCCTGTTACCAAATGGCAGCACTCACTTGAAATCTCTCTTTTAAGGACATCTTGCATTTTTGGGCCTCAGGATTGTAATATCTCTTCTTTTTGCACTTGACTCGCAGTTTCCTTAATTTTATGTGAGCAAGTATGACACCATGTGTCAAAACTATGAAAAGTATCCACAGTTTAATTATTATGAAACGTATCAGCAGTGAAACTATTATTGAATAATATGTAGTGGCAAAGCTACATGTGTAACAGCTAGATTTTTTTTTTTCCCTATAGACTCTCCTGACATGTTTCTTTTGGGGTTATTTCTTTTCCTTTTCCCACAGCTGCTGCACTGTGGAAGTTTCTGGCTGTGTGAGAGCTCTACAGTTTCTGACTGTTGGCAACAATGTATTACTCTGGTTATTCCCAGTAGAAGGAATGGAATTGATGCTAGAACTGTAAAACAAGCTGCTCTGCTTTGTGGATCCACCTTGGAGATGGGCTTTGTGGGCTTCATCAGACACAGGGGAAGATGGTAGATCACCTTCTCAGAAAGAGCAACTCTGTACCACCCACATTCCCAAACCTTGCTGTGCAAACCCAATACAAAATACACTTGTGAGGTGAACGTGAAGTGAAATAAAGCCATGGGTCTTGAGGGCGGGGACGGGGGGAAGATGAAAAGGTACAATATTTTTTATAGTATTGGAGAAACTCAGAATAATCCCAAACCTTCCATATCCAAGGAAAAATAAGCCCTGTAAAACCAGACAACTTCTATTCTTTTAAGCAACAGTAGATTTACTATTACCTACATGACAAAGATTTTAAAAATCCCTCTGGAAATGGCTAATATGTCATTCTCCAAAGAAAATAACTCTTCAGTAGCAGCTTAGTCTTTCTGATAGTAAGTTAGTGATGAAACCTTCCAGAATGGAGCAAAGTTGTACCTGCATTATTTAGAGAAAAGTCATAAGACAATCTTTATGTTATAAAACTAATCTTATCCTTTAAAAAGATCACAAGGAATTTGTCTAGAAAATACCTAGAAAGACTCAAGCTGTATTGGTATAATCTTCATATTTTAGAAAATTGTTGCCTTAAGGTTTAAGTCATCCCAAAACTATGCAGTGACCAGAATCTCAGAGCTATGGTTTTCACTGTATTTCAGCAGGAAGTTTTCCTTTATTTCCAGTTTTTGTACTATCTTGAGCTGCATGTGGGTATTAGTAATTCTGACTTTATGAACTCTCCCTTCAAGAAAGAATTGCATTTTGGATCACCACATCTAACTAGTTGCTTCTTTCTCATCCTCACCTCATGACTGCACCTAAGGTCTACGGAGACCAAGTACAGGTACTGGCTGTCTATGTTACTTCAAAAAAACCGCATTAGCAGCTGACTGGTTGTGATCACACCCCCCCCCCCCCCCCCCCAAACAAAAAAAAAAAAAAAAAAGGTTTTGTTTTCACCCCCCCCCCCCCCCCCCAAAATAACCAAAACAAAACAAAAAAAACCCACCAAAAACACTTCCCCCAAATGAAATGAAACCCAAACACAAAACAAACAAACAAAAAAACCCCACAAAAATATTACAAACAAAACAATAACAACAATCCCCTCCTCCCGTAGCATTTTACCAGGATGCTCAGAATGAGTCCTGTTGGGCATTCTTTTCCCTTGCCACTAACATGTGCCATTAATGAGAACAGTGTGTGGTTCTAAAGGAAGAGTAATGTATATGGTTTAGTCTCTAAATGGAGAGAAGGGCCTCTCTCAAATATCTGACACTGTCAAAGAGGGTTGTCCAGCCAAGTTTGTCCAAAATGCCGTTTAGAGGCAGAGGGTTGTGGGGGAAGGTTGGAAGAAGGGGATGAGGGTCTGGCAGGAAACAACTTGTATGGAAGTACAGAAATTCACACAGCTGTACCTGCCTCTATTCGTCTCTGCAGCCTTCAGCTGTCACTGTGTGCATGGAAGTCAGTCCAAATAATAAACCTAGAGCTTTATCGTAATTAACCTGACAACAAGTTGGTGTTTATTGTCTCCCAGCATGTCAGCTGAGGTTCCAAGGAATGAAATACCTTGTTGCTGTTTGAGATAGCTTTACTTTTGTTGAAATGAAAGCAATTTAAAGGAGATATTACAACGGACAGTAATTACTGTTCAATATTTCTTCTGGGGTGTAAATGGAAATTATTTGAAAAAGACTGATTCAGATAAGAATCCCACTCATAGAACTGAAGTTAGGCCTTCACAGTGACAAAACACAGTTATCACTACTTTATTTTTGTAATTTGATAAACTTTTTAGTAGGACTTTGGGTTTTTTATTTGGGGATTTTTGAGGGGTTTGGGGGTGGTTCTGGTTTTCTTAACATTAAAGCATTTTACCATTAGTGACTCTGTTGAGTAGATCTTTTCTTCACAGAGCTACTGCTTAAGTAGCTCTGAGTTTTGTTAGTCTGGTACTGGGGAATGTGTTGTGGCTCAACCTGAGCCAGCAGCCAAGCCCCAGGTAGCTGCTTACTCACTGCTCCACCCACAGGACCAGGGAGAGAATCAGAAGGGCAAATGCTAGAGAGCTCTCTCATGGGTTGAGATACAAGCAATTTGATAGGAAAACAAAACTCATGCACACAAACAAAGCCAAGTAAAGAATTAATTGACTGCTCCCCACAGGCAGGTAGGTGTGCAGCCATCTCCAGGAGAGCAGGGCCTCATGACACATGATGGTGACTTGGGAGGACAAACATCAGCACTCAAAATGTCCCCCCTTCTTCCCCCCACTTACTTCTTCCCCCCTCCACATACTGAGGATGATGATCTGGAATATCCCTTTTGTCAGTTTGGGGTCACCTGTTCTGGCTCTGTTTCTTCCCAGTCTCCCATTTACCCCTACCCTACCACTGCGGCAGCACAAAAAGTAGAAGAGGCCTTGGAACTGTATAGCCTGTGCTCAGAAATAACAACCTTCTCTGTATAATGAAGCCTCTGTTCAGCACAAGCCCAAAACACAGCCCCATGACAGCCAGTGTAAAGAAAGTTAACTCTACCCCAGCTGAAACCAGGACAGAATGTTGTGCTCCTTCTTGAAGGTAAATGATGTTAGAAGGGAGCTTGATTTACTGACCTTGAGTAAACTATACTGGTAGTTAAATATGTCTTCTCTAATTAATTTGACATCAAGATAGCCTCGTGGGCTTCATGTTTGACACACTTTAATGAAGAATTGGGTTCGAGTTTTTTTCCTTTATATTTAGAGGACTGCTTTGCTGTCTCATTGTTGAAAAGGTTCCCAAATCTGTGTGACAGTTGTTGCTCCAGAGTATAATGCATACATAAATCATCAACAGTAGACGCACAAAGTCACTGAGACTCCTTTTAACGTTTTTTTTTTTGCCCCTTAGTAAGTGGGGAAGGAAGAAAGGGGACCTGACAAAACCTTGTGTTTGCAAATTGGAACATTTGTTTGTCAGTGCCAAAGTACAAGCCTTCGTGTTGCTGCTTTTATCGACGTCCTCATGTTTCGCTCTCGAAAAAGCTATCTTTGAACACCAGGTGTCACTGTAACAAAGTGAAAAAGTTTGCTTGCAAGTTAGCTTCAAGCTGCTCGGTGATACACCGGGCTGGGTACCTCTGGGGGCTTTGTTTTCATTGCTCAGAGCTGGCTGGCCAGCTTTTATCTCAGAGGGAAGCGGCTCCCCTTGGTCTGTGCGCTGAGCTGCGACCCAGACCATCTACTCTTCCAGCAAGCTTATGAGGGAAGAGGTCAGGATCAAGGACAGACACCTGAGCTGGAAATTCTGCTTTTAATGTGAAGTTTGTTTGTAGGGAAAGCTTAAAAGGCTGTACTTCCCAGCCTGGCTAACCCACCTGCAGCTGCAGGAGCACAAGTAGGCAAGTGCTGAGTTTCCAAAAGTCAGAGCTACCGACCGCATACTGTAAGTTGGCCTCTTGTAATGTGAATATTTAATTAATTAGAACATATACATGCAAATAAAAATAAAACCCACACCAACCAAACAAACAAATGAACACTGCACAAACACAATAAATTACACAAATCAAAGGATTACACATAGTTAGATTAAGCTCAGCTCATTAATTTCCCCAGAAATCTTGGAGAACCTGGTGTACAGTTGTTGAGAGAGAAAGAAACCTGAAAATGAAAACGTACTGCCAGCACATCACATTTAACCAAGAACTCTCATTTTCCACAGCAGCTTCAGAGGAGCAACCCTGAGTTGCTTGTTGAGAGGACATGGAGGTGTGAGTCAGGACCAACACATTTTTTAGTTTTCTCTTTAGTTTTGGGGGGGAAAAAAAAGAAGAAGAAAAAAAAGAAGTATACATAGAAAAGAGTTAGTCTTTTGTGTCTTTTGTTAATTCCTGTTGTGAATTCTTTTTCAAAAATCACCTGTTCATTTACTATGGTGGGCCAGCCACAACTGAGGCCCAAATACTCACACAGCTGTTTCCTACAGCTTAACAGAGATGGCAAATTGAGACCCAACCCTAACCCCAATCCTATCTCTGAAAGTAAAATATAAAGTAAACAATTGGTGTTTGGGCAGTGCAAATCAAAAAGAGAAATTCACTTTTCACTTCCAGGAACTGTTTAGTTGTTACCAGAAGAGCAGGGCTTTGCCAGGAGTAACATTTGTGGGCTGCTGTGGTGAAAGTCAGCTCCATGTCAGCCAGACCCAATACATTCATGAACTGAATGTTCTTTCAGAATTGTTTCAATGTTAAAACAAACTCAGCTCTGAGCACCAAAAATATAAATTATTGCAAAACTTTCAGTGCAGACCTTTGCTGACACACACTGAACAAATTTATAAGAAACTATATCAGCATATACCTGAGGATCCATATGTACCAATCTAATTGTTTGCCTCTCACTAAAAGGAAGTCACAGTGTTCACTATGGGGTATAATGCATGATAAGCAGTTCTTTCCTTGAAATAAAGATTTAAACCTGTATTTTAAAAATAATTAATATATTCTTCATTAGTCAGCAACTGGAAGACTCAACAAAACATACAAAAAATAGTAAGGTGATAAATATTTAGGATACAGTTATTTAGAATCATTTGAGTTTGAGAAGAGCAGCAGCTTTTGAGTTTGTGGTTGGTCTTTTTCTCTTTTGGAAGTTCCTCAGTCCTTCACTTCATGACTCTGTGTGTGTGTGTGTTCTGGAGAACATTGAGTTTGAGTGGTCATGAGAGGGACATAGTACAATCATAAGTGCTTAGGAATAGAGACCTGAAAACTATTTATGGGCCACTCCTCCTTAGAGGTTTTCAGAGCTCCTTCTTGTTTCTTCCACAATTAATTTCAGACTTTGATTTGTGGTCTCTAGCAGATAATTATATGCATGAGAGCCTTCAAATCCATGCCAGCATGTTGTTTTATTTAGTGTTAAAGGTCTGAATGACTATAGAGCAGCTTTACAGAACAGCGCTGCACCAGTTTTCTTTCTGAGGTACTAAAGGACTTTCTGAGACATATCAAATTGTTCATTTATGTCAGGTGTCCTGTTTTTTTGGCTGGATTAATGTTTGTCTTCTTCCTAGCAGTTGGTACAGTGCAGTGGTTTGGATTTATGTTTTTGAAAGAAAGAAGAGTTTAAAGGGTTTAACACCAGCAACTAAGCTCCAAACAGCCACTGGCTGATTCTGCTCTTCACACTTTTCCTCTTTCCTCCTCACTTTCTGGTGGGATAAGGGAGAAAATCAGAGTAAAAAAGAAAAAGTGTGGGTAGAGATAAAGACAGTGCAATATGTACAGCAAAAGGTAAAGGGAAAGGTAAAGCAAGACGCACACACACAAGCAAAGAAAACCAAGGAATTTACTGCTTCCCATGGGCAGACAGGTGTTTATCCCTCTCCAGCAGACCAAGACCCCGTCACAGGTGATGGTGGGTTGGAAGACAAGTACCATTACTCCAAATGTCCCTCACTTCCTCTTTCTGCCTCTGCTTCATACACTTAGCATCATGTCCTATGGTGTGGAATATCCCTTTGGTCAGCTGGGCTCAGCTCTCTTGGCGGTGTCCTTTCCCCTGCCTCCTCTCTGGTTGTGTGGGATGAGAAACAGAAAAGACCCTGGTCCTGTGTAAGCACTGCGTCAAATCTAGACTGTATAAAAATCAGTATGAATCTCAGTACTAAATCTAATGGTGTCTGGATCAGACATTTTCAAATCTCTACTGTGCTAAAGGTGACTTTGAACATGAAGCCTTCTGCGTTGCAGGCACGCAGATCAAATCTTGCTCCTGCTGAGAAGACCTTGTGGTTCACATGGAATCTCACTGTAATGAGATGATTCACAAGCACATCCACAAGTGATTGTTTATCCAAATTGGTCACACAGAAGCTGTTTTGAAAAGCTGTTATAGCAGTGTTTATTTCTGATGTGAATTTCTCTTGCTGGAAAGGCCATTCTACCTAAGGAGGTCTTAAGTCTCAAATAAGGTAGATTTTGGGGAAAACTTTTTTCAGCCCAACAAATAGGTGTAATTCCTGTTCATCCCAAAAGTGAATTTTCTGACCCAAATCTTGGGAACTAAAGGACTCATCTTCCAATGGCCTAAAACAGGTGGACACAGAGGAGTTGGATAAGACAGCTACCAGCAAATCTCCTGTTCTTCTAGACTTTTCTCAGGTAGAGCTAAAAATTTCAAACATCTCTTCTCTGCTAACTTGACTGTTTTTTTACCCTCAGGGTATTTTGTGCATTGAAAACAAAATAGATGAAATTTAACAGCATCTGTTGAATCTTCCTAAATTCCCCCATAATTTTTGTTGCAAACTTAAATGATTTCTATGGTAACAGCAGAAGAGTGTTTCTAAATTTGTAACATCACATTGTGGGTGGGCATCAGTGCTTTTCTCTGCTGAAAGATATTTGCAATTGAACCATTATAGGTAAAGTCTAAGATTTGCTTAAAACAAATGATGCATTTTTATTGTTTTACTTTTTAGGGCTGATACAATAGGCAAGAAGTTCACTTTTGTTCACAATTCAGCTAATGAATCACTTACCTCGGCTACAGTAAATGTGGTGGCTGGATTAGCTGCACCAGCACTGTTCAGGTGCCAAGAACTCTTTCTTTACATAATGTTAATCATAAAAGTGTCAAAATCAAATGTCTGGTCACAGTCATAACTGATGGCTTCACCATGATTTACAATGTGAACATTTATAATTAAAGACCAAATCAACAGCATGAAATGGAAACAAAAATTGAAAGCTACAGCTTTCACAATATTGTTCTCATTTAGTAACAGTACTAATATTGAATTAAATTAGGTAAAATTAATATTTGTTATCACAGAAAAAATCTAGGAGTTCTTGACACCTAATATATGTAGGCATATCCCTCGTGCTTTTTAAAGTGGATAAGGTTGTGACAAGGTCTCTATTAAAAGTTGAAAGTAGTTTTTTTCCTGAGGAATATTTGAATTTGATCCATAGTGTTTCCTGAATTGCAAATGGCTCTGCAGTAAAAGGTACAGGCCATCATGTAAGTAAATTGTATATGGAAGTAAAGTGCATGGATATGGAACAAGATATGTTTGGTAAAGAGATGTAATATAATGTTTTAAGAGTTGGAGGTTACATTGGAAAATATCCTTTTGAAAGCTCTTTCTGGTGTACATAAAGTAACATCAAAACATAGAATAATTTGGATTGGAAGGATCTTAAAAATCATGTCGTTACAACCCCTCTAGCATGGGCAGGGACAACTTCCTCTCCCAGAACTACCAGCTCTTTTCCCTGCTAATTAGTAATGATTGGATGAGAGTTTGAGCAAATGGACAAGAAGAGAGAAATCTTGTCCTTTCTTTAGATAGTAGATAGAAATTAATAAGCAGAAATACTGTTTTCAATAACATTTTCCTAATCATATTTTTCAGACACTGCCTTCCTTACTAGCAATTTATTTCCTGATGCAAAAACAGCTACAGGGTCAAACATATCAATGCAGAAGACCTAGAAAATATTCCATGTACCACAAAACACTTGCTTTAAGAGATTAAAAAGTTCTCGTGGTCTTGTGCTGGCAAAAAACTGGAGTCTTAATTCACCTTCAGAAAATATCAAATCTGGTTTTGTGCCATCAAATAAAACCCAACAAACCCACTTTGACTCTGACTTGGTCACTTCATTTTTTACAATTGCTGTTTGCAGAGTGCAGGAATTAATCACTCTGATTAATATCTATGGTATTTCACATCAAATGCAGGCCTGTTTCTTTGAACAGTTTTTACTGAAGTGGGTCCAACTCAGAACACAATGTAGTTTCAATAAGGCAGGTCAGTTTAAAGATATAAATTATACATTCCCTCCCTGTTTCTAGCTTAGAAACAAGTAACCATGGTGACTGGAAAAACTTAACTTCTGCACATATTCTGAGATTGTCACCATTCACAGCTTTATTCCCTCCTTAATCCCCCAAAAAGAATTACCTTGCCAAAATAACTCCATTACTTCATAAAGTGATGCCAACAGAAAAGCTTCTTGCCATTCAGCCTAACTCCAAACTGCTGTTGTTGTATCACACAGCAGGTTATCTCTAATCTCATATGTGCAAGGCAGTTCTGATGACAAACCAGGAAAAAAAAAGCTGACCAAACAAGTCCAAAGGACATTCTCCATGAGAGATAAGACTTTCAAAAACACCCCTGTGCCTGGCAAACCTGGTCTGTGCTGACTCCTTGACACAGGAAATGTACGCTGTGCCCTGTGCAGCTCATGCAGCTGGCACAGGGTCAGCCAGTGCTTGGCAGGTTTGTACCCAACCTGAGAAGCATCTCCAGGATCACCACTGTGCTGGGAAGTCCAGCTTGGAAAGGCCAGGAGGGAGTCAATGCCCAGAGGGAGACAGAATGGGGGCTGCTGGTGGTGAAAGGAGTCCCTTGCCCCCATCTGTACCACTGCCACCACCAACCACCCTGAGCAGGCCCTGCCCAGCAAGGGTCACCCTCTCCCTTCATTTGGGGCTGCACAGTGGGGTTTCTTGACCAGTGAGCTATCTTCCTGGCACTAACAACTAATCCCCCAAAAGTTGTTCTTCTGTAGGCCTGATATTTACAGCATGTAGATCAATGTGGATTGTGCATGGTCATGCCACAAAAAATCATCTGCATCTTTCACCCCATTATAAATACATAAAGACAAGTATATCTCATCAGTATTACCTTAAAATGCATATGCCCATAAATTATCCTTACCATAAAGGGATGTCTGCTAGTGAGGTGCTCTGCTTGCACTCAGATATATTGCTTCATGGGGCTCTGTCTGACAAAACTGGAGCAGCAACAGTTCCACCTGATTAACTCTAGGATCATTATGGTGGCTGAGACCAGCTTTAGAGAAAGTATTTTCCTTTATTTTTCCCTGCTTCTATATACTGTGTATTTTGGAAGTGTAAGGAAGGCACTTTGGCATGTGTTTATACTCAACATCATACATTCTTAGTTCTTCAGTTTCAGTTGGTTAATCTGAAAATATGTCTTATCTTATAAAGCCTTCTCAAAAAGAAGAAGCTCAAGTACCAAGACAGACAGGGCACCATTTTCCAAAATCACTTTGCAAAGAAGCCTCCAGATCTTTAACTACTTTTGCTATATAATCATTCTGAAAAAATGAGAAAAAAAACTTGAAGCAAGGTTGTAACTGTTTCATTACAGCTCTTTTTAGAAAGAACAAAAGTTCACTCAACTATACTTCATGGAGCAAAGTCTCAGCTGAGGAGAAAACTTGCCTTTAAGTGTCTTCTGAACCATGACTGCAAAATGGAAATTGAGGCTGCTTATTCCTGTAATCCAGATCAAGTTTTAAAACTGAGAGTGTTCACCTCTGCAGGACTGTGACTGTATTAACACCAGAGCTGGACATAGTGCCAGATTAGTATATTTTGATGGAAAGTAAGAAACAGAAGAATGCTGCTGCTAGCTATAAGGTCTTTTCCTGAAGACACACTAAATCACACCCACAGTATTACAGGGATTCTCTGGACTGTTGATAAAAATTATATTTTGTTCTAGTAATAGGAACATATTAAATTTTCCTTCCTTCATTGCTGGCAAATATAAACTGAATTTTGTAGCAGAAAGAAGTAGGAGTGAGAAAAGATGGAGGGGAGCTCAGTGTAATTTTGAGGGATCCGAGGAGGCTGTTGGGGTCCAGTCAGGATAAAGAAGATTTCTTTCTTCCCATTATGTGTTGTGGTAGAGCTGGTTTGGTGGGATAGGCTGATGACCATCTCTCCTTGTCTACACCCAAAACTGGTGTAGAGTAAAACCGGAGATGCATGATCATCCCCTTGTAAAGATAAGGAATATAAACTGAAGTTTCATTCTTTTTGGAGTATGTCAAACCCTACCAGCCCCAGGCTAGGATTATCTCTGGAGATACTTGCCGATGCCTGGTGGTTCAGTTCTTGACTTTGGCTAAGCTGTTCCCTGACACAGTCATCACTGATCGTTCCCAGAAGCTGAATTACCAGGTGAGACAGCCATGCATCTGAAAATTCAATTATTTTTTGGTTTATAGTACAAGCTTCTTTGGAGATTATGTTGTTTTAATCCTTGCAGTTCACAAATGCAATGCAGTACATGACATACATACCCTTTAGCATTTCTGTAGTATGATATTCAACTCAAACAATATTTGGAATTTAAAAAAGCCAACTAAAAGTACTCATAATTTTAAACCCTCTAGCCGATAAGTTCCAGTTATTTTGTGTGGAAACTAAAGACTGATATCTTCCTCTTTCATTTAAACAAAGATGAAATAATTTTTGAGATGTATGATAAGACCTTTTCCTAAGAAGTAGAAACCTTTTTTTTTCGGCCGTACTCCCTGATCTACAATAGAAAGAAGTGCACTCCAAAATTTTAAATAATTATGTTGGTCTTTGAATTAATGATGTTATGGTTTTCTCTACCAAAAGTGCATGGATGAATTTGATTAATGAAAAGAGATTTAAGGAGATGAGTCAGGGAACAAAGTAGATGAACTCAGAAAACCTGTGCTATATTCTGAGGTCATGTTTCACATTTCTGTTTCTGCCCAAAGGTTTCACCAAACTCTTCTGAAATGAGGGTGTGAGGGATTCTTTGGGGAGGTATTTGCTGAAAGAGATGATTTCTGTTCTTTCTCTTTCTGTGGAATCTCTTGACCATCAAATCAGACAGCTGTATCTTTTCTGAGGTTTGATCTGGTTTAGCTTGAAATTCTTTTAAGCTACAGTGTTACTGAGCCAAAACCTGTGCATTGCTTACTATGCTTTATTAAATGAAATTTAAATTATTGCCTCTCTTACCTCTTACCTTCTCTTACCTACCTCAGGCATCACACCTGTTAGAGACTTTGTTCTGTGAGTGTGGCAGCCACACATATCTGACTGATGTCAGAAGCTACAGATTTTGTAAGGTTTGTTTGGTATGGTTGCATAAGAATAGTACGACTAAGACAGTGATATCCAGTGTGCAACTGTTAGAAGGAATCAGACAGCAGTCACCTAACAGGTAACACCCCTCTACAAAATCAGTAACACGTGTCTGGAATGACCATATTAAGCTGGTTTTGACCTACAAAAGGAGGAAATAATAGTTTGGGCCAAGCATGCCAAATTTGTTTCTCATTTATCTCAGTGGTCCTGAGCCTAGCCATCCTGACCTCAGAGAACTAAAGCCAGTCAACCCTGTGAAATCAAGAGCCAGCAAGGTGTATCATACATGTGGTATGATATACATAAGGCCTGACTAATGATTAATTTTTAGTTGCTAGGGGAAAAAAAAGAAAAAAGCATTTGCCAAGTCTTTGAGTATAAGTAAAAACAGCCTGGAAGTTTTGAGGTTATCTGCTCCCATCACAGCAATCCCCAGATGCCGGACAAAAACAGCTGCAACACCACCAAAAGACACCACTGTTTATGTCTTCACAATGGTCTTTATGCTTTAATAGATAGGAGCACTAGAGCCACAAGACAGACATTACTGCAGGGAACACCTGAGGAGCAGACTTTTCTCACAGATAATGTCTTTTACAAGCACACATTACCTGCCCTGATAAATCTGTTTTACAGAGTTATACATGCTAATATTCAAATCCTTCACACCCCTGAGAGAATGTACATACTATTGTGAGAAGAGTAGTTACATTATCATCACAATTTAACCTTACAGATGGTTTTCAAAAACAGTAGTTTCAAAAACTAGTTTCAAAACTGGTTTTAGCAGAACAGTTAAGCTATTAATGAAGTCTAATTGTACTATTTTCTGATTAATTACACTGTATCTATATCTCAGCCTTATAAGGTAAACTACCTGATTTGGTAGGACAAGCTTTTTCTGACTGTGCTTCAAAAACTAAAAAATATTAAAATCTACTTTATGACTGACAGAAGGCTGCTGATGTCTGGTGATTTTTTCCCTCTCACCACTGTTGATCACCTTGGCCTGGACCACACCACTGTCATCATAGCACAGCCTTCAGCAAAGACTCCAGGCCCTGCTGCACCCCTGCTGCAGACAGCACCCTGTCCCTCTGAGATGGCTTCATTCCCTACAGCCTGGCAGCTGTTGCAGCATTATACTCAAAATCCTGCTTATGCAATAGAGGAATCATAACTTACATACAAGTAAATAGAAATATATTGTTAGGATGATGTTGGATATGAGGGAGGGTAACCTGGCTGTGAGATCTGATATGCCATTGATGGCGTGGGTTGATCTGACTGATCTGGTTAGCTTAGGCAGGTGTTCCCTTTCTTCCTTGACATTTCATGTGTGTTTCTCTTAATGATGTGTGCTTGGTTAATGAGTAGAGCCTCCCCAACAGACATGGTATTGCTCATTGGTCAGAGGTAGCTGTGCTCCCCTGCTAGAAGGCACAATAAGCTCAAGGTCCATTTGTAGATAAATGTAGGGTAATCATGTATCCAGTAATGAAAACACATTCATATGAGAAGCTGCATGTGCCAGTCTGCCAGTGGCTTTTAAGAAAAATTTTAAATTTCTTAGGGCAGTGAAGCATGGGAAGGATCTAGAGAGTAAGTCATATAAGGAGTGGCTGAGGGAGCTGAGGTTATTTAGTCTGGAGAAAAGGATGTTCAGAGGGACCTTATCACTCTACAGCTACATAAAATGAGGTTGTAGCCTGTGGGGTTGGTCTCTTCTCCCAGGCACTGAACAACAGAGCAAGAGGAAATAGCCTCAGGCTGAGCCAGGGGAGGCTCAGGCTGGACAACAGGAAGAATTTTTCTTACTAAAAGGGTTGTCAAGCTCTGAACAGGCTGCTCAGTGAAAGTGTTCAAGAAATGACTGGACATGACACTTACTGCTATGGTCTAGTTGACATGGTGGTGCTCAATCAAAGGATGGGCTCAGTGATCTTGGAGGTCTTTTCTAATCTTAATGATTCTATGATTCTCTGATCTAGATTTAATTATTACAGAACATGAACTAATAGAATTTCAGTCAAATCCCTTCTATATGGAAAAGTCTTGGTAATAATAAAATTAAAAGGGAAACACACCCATTCTGTAGTTTTTATTCCCCTTTTCCTAGAGCTCATCTTCCCACTTCTCCCCTGCATCTTGAAGTCAACAGATTTGGGCCCCTAGAGAGGGAAGTGTCCAAAGCTGTCAGCCTCATGAATCATTCAGGAGGAAAAAGATACAAATTTCACTGGTTTCTTCTTTCTCTCTCCAGGAGCCACTTGAGGCCACTTGTGCACATTTTTTTTTCATTTTCCTTTTTCTTCAGTGGTATATAGCATAATACTACATCCAAATTTACTATGTATGGTGCTCTATACATATGGCATATTTATTTGTTCTCTTTGTTATCTTTAAAATCAGTTCTGGCCAGCTCTGGGTCTGCATTTCTTTAACTGATCACAGGAGAGTGGTTTATAGATGCAAAGCCTCTCTCCAGTGCCAGCCTTGTTCCCCACTTTCTATCATCCCATGCCTGTACTCCTCTGCATCATATTGTGCATCGCTCTGCTTTTCAAACCTTTGCTATTGTACCAGACCTGTGTTTCTCTGCCTTATGCCTTTGTGTCAGAGGTATAACTATCCCATTCTGCATAGAATGGCTGCTCATTACTGTTACTTGTAAAAAAAAAGAAGTGGTTTGTACTATACACAATTAAAACAGATTCATCACCAGCTCTTTCTCAATTAAAGGAGTTGCTTTCACATCTGAGACAATGAAAAGAAAGCTACTGGCCAACAAAAATTCAGCCAGAACAAGACTGCTGATCTTCCTACCCAAGGTCTTGCAAATTCAATAAAAAGAGTAAATGTGACAGGTCTGAGCCCCTGTTAGCTGCTCTGAGCCACTGTGAAAATGGGGAAAGATAACATTACTGCCACTTCTACCCTAAAAAGCCAACTGCCAAGTGCTTTAGGAGCATGCTTATTCCTGAAATTTTTGACAGTAAGGAGAGAGGGAGTTGTCACTCCTCAAAGGTATTTCATTGAGAAAGGTTTTATACAAAAGAGATATGAAGCTGTTAGAGAGTGTCCAAAGGAAGACCACGAAGATCGAAGGGCCTTGGGGGGAAGCCTTGTGAGGAGTGGCCTTGAGAGGAGGAGACTGAGGGGAGACTTCATCACAGTCTTCAACACCTTCACGAGGGGAAGCAGAGGGGCAAACACTGATCTCTTCTCTGCAGTGACCAGTGACAGGACCCAAGAGAATGGGCTGAAGTTGTGTCAGCAGCGGTTTAGGCTGGATGTTAGGAAAATTTTCTTCACACAGAGGATGGCTGGACACTGGAACAGGCTCTCTGGGGAAGTGGTCACTGCTCCAAGCCTGACACAGTTTGAAGGAGCATTTGGCCAGTACTCTGAGACACCTGGTGTGGCTCTTCGGAATTGTGCTGTACAGGTCCAAGAACTGGACTCAGTGATCCTTGTGGGTCCTTTCCAACGCAGCATAGTTTGTGATTCTGTCACCTAGATGAAGTCACCTGTCACCTAATGCATCAGCAAGTTTGCTGATGATACCAAACTGGGGAGAGTGGCTGATCCATCTGAGGGCTGACCTTCAGCAGCACCTTCGTAGGCTGCAGATTTGGGCACAGGGAATCCCAATGAGGTTAAAAAAGGGCAAGTGTAGGGTGCTGCACCTGGTGAGGAATAATCCCAAGTAGCAGCACGGGTCAGAGGATGACTGGCTGGAGAGCAGCACTGCAGAGAAGACCACAGAGCCTTTGTGGATGACAAACCTGTTGAACATTTCTTCCATATATGGGAAGGTGATCACAGAAAGTGATCAACACTTTGGTTCTCATGTGCCTTTGCAAAGTTTCCACAATTTCCTTAATGGTCTTGTCTGGCACTAAACTGAGACTGACTGGTCTTTAATTCCCCGGGTATTTTTTACTCTTTAAAAAAATGTATATTATATTTCCTTTTTTCCATCATCAGGGACTTCACCTGACTGCAATGATTTTTCAAAAATTATGGATAGCGGCTTAGCAATTTCATCTGCCAGCTCCCTCAGGACCTATGGAGGAATCTCATTGGGTTCCATGGACTTATATACACTCAGGTTCCTTAGGTGGTCTTGAAACTGATCCTCTCCTATGGTGGACACAGCAATTTTATTCTCCCGATTTTTAAATTTTCTGTTCTGGACTTGGGAGGTGTGGCTGGAGAACATAATCAGAGAACAGACTTGGACTTCAAGCACAAAAACATTGTCCTTTTCAGAGAATTTGTATGTGGGATCTCAGAGGAGGTATCTCTGAAGTGGAAAGAATTCCAGCAAAGCTTGTTGGCCTTCAGAGACAACATTCTCCAAGTAAAAAAAATGGTCCATCCTCATGGAAAAAAGGAGACATATCAGGAGGCCAGCTTGATGAAGCAAGCAAGTTGTGACATATCTTCAACACAAAAAAAAGCAAATATAGGTGGGGGACAGGGGCAGGATGTAAAGAAGGAATAAATAAAAATGGCCAAGGCATGTAGAGGCAGAATAAGGGAAGCCCAAATTCCAATGGCTTGCAAGAAGTGTCAGGGGCAATGGATGTTTTTACTACTACATTAGGTACAGGAGGCTGACCATTGTCACATGGGGTAGGTGATTCAATGACAGCAGGCATGGATAAGGCAGGTCTTCATCACCCTGCTTGCTGTCACCAGCAAAGTCTGCCAGGCCTCTGCACTCAGTGAGGGAGAAGAAGAGCTACCAGCCTAGTTTAATGGTCAAGTCAGGGATCATGCAGGAGCACTTAACACCCACAAATGTCCTGACACCTGTCCTACTGCACCCCAGGGTGCTGAGGGATGTAGCTGATGTCCTTGTACAACCAGTTTCCATCAGCTTTCCAAGGCTGTAGATACGAGGGAGAGCCCCAACAACTGGAGAAAACAAAGTGTCAGAGCTACCTTCAAAAATGGGCAAAAGCCACTTTGATATGCCTGTTGGCTGGCCATCACTTTGGGGTAAAATCAAGGAGGGAGACATCCTGGAGCCCACATCTGGGCATCTGAGAGAGAAGACAGTGATGGGGAGTAGTCAACAAGAATTTATTAAGGTTATTTGTTGCTGCTGGAGAAAGATTCTCTGCAGTAAGACTCTTAATCCAAAGAATTTACATTTGCAGAAATAAATGAGCATGAATAAACATTCATCTGAAGTAAACACAAATTGAGCTATGTGATGTTTACTTCAGTTGTGAAATGCTTACTTTTTTAGAGGTTGGTTGTTTGGAAAGTGGGAGCCAGTGCCAAATTCTTGTAACTCCCAAGACTTGATGGAAGATTACCCGACATTGTATTTATTCAACAGAAAAATGATTATATTTTTGCTGCATTTTTATCCTTTTATGTGGTAGCTCTATTATGTGGGATGTTGAAATATGTACATAATGAACAAATTCTTAGTGATATAATCTGCAGAATGTTTCTTCTGCTGCTTTCTATCCATCACTATGTTTTCCTGAATACAATGAATGATCATTCTATGGAATAGTCAATATATACCATCCTAGTAGCAGCACTAGCCTCTCTCATTTCTAAATAGTTTCAGAAAATAAAATGAAAACTGCTTTCTCTTATTTCTCCTATTGCACAAGAGCTGAAAATACATGATTCAATAAAACACATTTTTTTGTTAAGAGAAAGATCCAAAAGGAATGACCTGTAATAATAGGTCATTATTATTTAGATTCCTGAATATGCATTTTGTTAAGAGAAAGATCCAAAAGGAATGACCTGTAATAATATTTTAGATTCCTGAATATGCGTTCCTCCTTTAGTGTTCACTGAGTCTTCAGGATGACCGAATGGAAATATGAAGCTTGTTTTCCAACTAGTGGGAGTCAGCTCAGCTCCATTAAGGATCAATCTATGAGGCAAGGTGGCTTCAGAGTGTCAGGCTCAGTATAAATGCAACACTTAGAATCTTGAAGGGGAAATTCAGTTTAGCCATGAAATTTATATATGTTATGAGCTGATATGAGACATGAGAGAAGGACTTCCCCATTATTAAGAACAGAAATAAAATTTAATCACACTTCACAAATAGTTAGCTCATAAATAAAAAAAAAACCCACACTGAAAATTATGCTAATCTGAAGCAGAATAGTATGGAAACCTACATGATACATTCAGTAATTCTACAGAGCTTCCCTAATGCAGAAAGCAGCAATCAATCTTTCAAACCCTGTCTTTCAAATATAAAAATAAACAATTTCTCAAGTATCTGCCTGTAGAAGTAATGTTAGAAATAATGAAGAAACAGTTTTATTCAGGGTCCCAAGACAGAAAGAAGGGAATTATACAAAAGAAAAATTCCCTTCACTTTCATTAAGAACAATGGACTAACTTCTTTCCAGAATAAAGTCATCACCTTGTTTATTGGGTCCTTCTTTAATATGCTATTCACAGTACTTGCCACAAATCTTACAAATGCAGTCTTAGTCTTCTCTTACTACTGCAGCTGCAGTGATGTATAATTTGAGTTCATAGCAGATGCAAGTCTTATTGCAGCCTCCTCTTATGGAACTTCCAGTGGAAAATAAGGAAATTAGTTTGATGTGCTGTTGTTTAGGAATGGCATTCTCCAGTACTGCGCTCCCACTAAAACCAGGCACTGCTTGTTCTCTCCTCCCCCTCTCCGGTGCTGTGTGCTGGAGAGGGGAGCTGGGGGCACAAAAGGCAAAGACCATGGGTTGGGATAAGAACAATTTACTGGAAATAGCAATGAGATAAGAAAATGAATACAAACAGCCACAATATTAATGACAGAATGTACAAAGGACAGTGATTCACATGTAAAATGCTCACCTACAACCATGACCAAGAGGGAGCCCTTCTCCCTGAAAGAGATTCCCTTCCCCCACTCCTGGCAATGAATTGAGGTAGTATAGAATAACTTCTGGGTTCTGGCCATACCCCTCCTGGCTACTGCAAAAAATGAACCCTGTCCTGGCTGGAACAAGAATAGACATGAAATAAGTTAATTAATTTTTATTTTCTCCCTTCCTTTCTTGTCCTTCTGTTACTGAATTCCCAGATTCTTCATCCAAAGTCTTCCAGCCACAGTCTGTTGTAACTGGGGCCTTTGAAATGGCTTAGAGAACAGGTATACAACCTGAAGCTAGATCTTGACGTGGTAGAAATAGCTGCGGCCATTATAATTATGAAAGAACAATTTACTACCTGAAAGAACAACCTGAGAGAACAACTACTTGTAGAGGCTACTTCATATTAAGAGACAGGCTGACCTCAGTTTTGTCTCCTCATACTGCCCTTGAGATCTCTTCTTGAGATAAAATTAAGCTTCCAAATTTTCAAATATAAATCTCACAAGCCCTTTAAGAAAATACTTTAGGGGTAGGAGCTTCAGGGCTAGTATAATAAGCTGTTTCACATCCTCCACATTGAAACCGCCTCTCTGAAATTTTTTATACCTCGGTTAGAGATCTGTTCAGCAGAAAGCTATGAAAAAGCTCTTTTTTGGCAAGTACTGTGGTACTGTGCAAGCAAGTACTTGATGGAGATTGGACAGTCACAACAAAAAGAGCTGCTGCTAAGTGGAACATATAAATTCAGAAGCTTAAGTCAGAAAAAAGGGAGAAAAGCAGGCCCAGAAGCACTGATTAACTTGCACATACAAGCCTATCTGTACCCCTTGTGAAATAGATATTGTCTTAGCAGGCACACTTTCACTGCAAAGGCATATAATATGTAACCAGTCTTAAAAAAATCCTCAAGACTATCTTTAATCAGGTGCATCTGAGCATGATTTAAGAGAATGAGTTATGAACAAAGTGGGTGGTTGCATGTGGGAAGTGAATGAAGTTATTTGGCAGTGAGGAGTTAACAAATTCTGGTGGGTGTTGCTATTTTTGTTTAAGGCACACTGAGTTGCTGTTAGTATTAATACAACCTTCAACTTTTCAGTTGCTTAGTCTTTAACCATTATAGGGTAATAGAAAAGGTATCTTCTCAGTCCCAAAGCTAGTTCAATTAAGTTGCCTGGAAAATGAGCTACAGTCTGATTTTTCTGATCAACTCCTTCACTGTACAAACTTGTCCCACAATATAAACATTCCTTCTCCCTAGAGGAAGAAATGGGTCCCTATCACTAATAAAATAAGATTTTAATGTACACAAAATCTTGTATTTCTGCTGTACTATACCGCCAAAAATATAGAGAAGTATAAACTCCAGTTTAGTTTTGTGGTGAAAAATGCAATTGCTCACTTTTCTTTTTGCAGTTTGGTTGTGTCAAAATAACCTGACCTTTTCAGTTCAAACTAACTGCTCACCTGAGGAGTGAAAGATGCAAATGCTTTCTCTGCAGATCAGCCTTCCTTATATTATAGATACATATTATAATATTGGCTTTTTGCAAGTGTTAAAATGGATTTTATATGTGTAGTGTTAAAATAACTTTGTTATAAAGGTATAATTTTTATTTCTGTTGTTAATTAAGCTTAGACATAGTAGTGGAATAGTTATGCTTGTGTTAAAATGTCTGCTTGGATGAGATAAGATCCAATGAACATAGGATGAGGACACCTGCTACAGATATTCCAACTCACCATCTGAAGTCAGTGTGGACCAAGGCCTGAACTGGAAAGGATAAGGAGAAGGAGCCAAAACCACGGCCAAGAAACATGCGTGCTCTTAAAAGGTGGGCCCAAGGAGGGGCCATGTAAAATTGTTCCTGGAAAATGTGAACTAGTTTATGGAAATGCATGAGGGTCTATGAATATGAAAAGAGCTGATGTAAGGAAAAAGGTATTTAAAGGTATCCACAAAGATAACAGTGTGGTCTTGGCTGAGTACCAAGAGGCACCTGGCCTTTTTAACCTTTGCTCTATGGTTCTTGTCTCCTATTGTCCTTTATTAAACTTTCTAAATTTTCACATGAGAGTGAACCTGTTTTTCACACTTATAATTTGATATCATTTTTTTATATATAAATTTTGTGATTTCATAGATGAGGTGAAATCAGGAAGTCTAACAGCAACAATTTCAAAATCATTGTCCATTATTTCAGTTCAGCCAGTTCAAAATTCCTAAAAATACATGGGATTTAAGTTTTGCAACAACAGAACATACTTTGAGGTCAGTGCTTGAGGAGCCACTCATAGCAAGAAATCAGCTGGGGTAACTGAGAGGCCCAAGACATTTTGCAGTCAGAAGCTTGCTCGGATACTTTACATTTCTGCTTGATTTCCCTGATGTGACACAACAGACCTGGCATCACTGGAACATTGCTTAAAATCATCTAGCACACAGCTTTGGAATAGCCCAGACACATCCAGTTTTGTTAGTTTCCCAGTGTCCCCTGGCCACCTGCTGTGCTGTGCAAATGCCTCTGGAGTAATCATGTGTTTCCTAGAAACCAGGAGTTGTCACACATCTCTTGTACCCAGACCACCATCTAACTGATCATGATCCTGTTTGGGGTTGTGCCTGGGCTTGGCAATCCCCTCTGCACAGGGGATGGCCTTCCCTCTTGGTTGTCATTACTGCAGTAGTGGATACCAATTACATGACAGTTTCAAAATCTGTCTGGGTTTGTCATAGAATTTATCTACCCAGAACCTTCACTGAAGAACGGCACACATACATGATCTCTAATATTGCAGGCCTGGGAGGTCTGTAGTTTCTGCAAATACAGCTCATTAACTAACACTTACACTTTTCAGGAGGTAATGTTTTACCTAAATCTCTTGGGGAAAAATAGCATTTTAAAAGAAAAAAAAAAAATAGAATGAAGAATTTTCTATAACATCCATTTTTGAGAATAGAATTAGAAATCAGTGTTGATACTATGGGAATTACAGAACTTATCCTGGGTATGTAAGCCCTTCCCTTCCCTTCCCTCTCAGCCCAGCAGGTGTTTCTGCCTGTATTTGCCTTGGAAGCTGTAGGGTTGGCACACAGCAAAACTCGTGTAGAATCACATAGTAGAAGTTCTCTTTCTCAAATGACACTTCCAGAGCAGAGTATTTTTCGGCTGTTACTTACCTGGTTGTCCAGACATCCATTTCTTTCTTACTTGACAGAGCAATGGAATAAAACTCTTCCCCTAGACAGTGAAGGACTCACTGAGAAACTGGGTAGTAGGTGGTAGGCCCCAGCTGTTTTTCTGTAGCTCTGTGTGGAGGACTGAGAAAAAGGAGCCTATTCGATTTGCATAAATTAACTGCCTTTTACAAAGACTTAGTCGTGGTTTTTTTGGTTTTTTTTTTCCCCTCCCTGTTATATCTAATAGAAAAAAACGATTTGCATAAATTAACTGCCTTTTACAAAGACTTAGTCGTGGTTTTTTTGGGTTTTTTTCCCCCTCCCTGTTGTATCTAATAGAAAAAAAACCCCAAATTACAGTGTTTTAACACTGATAGTGTGTGAATGAGTGTGACTTACCAGGGACCAAGATTCTCAAAGCAGACAATCCACTTTGCCTGCTCTGTCTTCCTGTCATGGTGTACTATTTAAAGCATCATACTTGCATATCAAAAGAGCCTGTGAGTCACGACAGAACTTCTGAATCACAAAAATCCGTGCTTGTGCCACGGATGAAAAAAAATAGCTTCACTGTGAATGCTACCAGGCAGCAGATAGTTGAATACCTGTGTGTATGTGAGTAGATGTTTGAAGCAGAACTTCTGCATTCCCAGGAAGCAGCCTTGATAGTTGCAAGGGTCGCAGGATGGACCCGTAAATACCGATAATACCTGGTTTAAATACAGATGGCATGTCCTGCATTCTCCAGTTCTGGAAGGGTTGTAAGAAACCACTTAAGAGGCTAGTGACATATTCTGCTTCTGCACACAGACTGTTTGGGTTAGGAAAGGTGGAGCCTGGAAAAGAGTACGTAAAAAAAAAAGACAACTCCCTGGAAGTGAAGAGAGACTCTGGAGATCAGAGGGCTGAGTGAAGATGGGTACCAGGAGATGCCCAGAATTCCTAGCCAGTAACACACAAAAGAGGTGCCTGCCAGAGGTGACACAGCCAGAGCCTGTGTGACATTCTGCCTGACAACACGGGGTCAGCAGTGACTTCCCTGCTGCAGACTGAAGTTGACAATTGGGAACCTAATGCTGAGAGAAGTGAGGCTGTAAGTGCATAGCACAGTCCCCAGATCCTTGATGAGCTGTCATTCAATATGCCTTATCTGGGAAACCTTGATTACTTGCTTCATATTTTTAATTTAATGATTTTTAAAGAATTTCAGAGCCAACATTTACTAATGTGTGCCAACTGATGCACACAGATGCTTTGGATTAGAGATACCACTGCTCTTTCCCACAAGCATTAAAAGAAATGATGAAAGAAAAAAAGCACAGGAAGTATTTACCAGATGATTTTGAGTGCTTTTATCTTTAGATAAGATTTTTCTGCTATAGTAGAGTAATAAAATTCTAAAAAACTTAAAATTTAAAAAAAACCTTCACACTGAGTATTTAGCTAATCTGTTTTATCAGAAATAACACAAGATGGAGTACCATACAAAAGCTGTTTTTGACCATCCCACTAACTCATATGAGAATGACAGACCTCTAGCCACACTATTCATGTGGAAGTATATTACGGTATCTCCACTAGAACTGTGGAGATACTGATGCTGTGCTCCACATTCTTCTTACTACCTACTAAAAAAAATTACAAATTTTCACTGTTGCACTCTGCAAAATACACAGATAGGAAGAGTAGCAAATAATAGAATCCACTTCTGTGATTTGAACATCTTGACTGCTTTGTCTCAAGCAAATTGTGCATACATAGACAGAAACAAATATAAGGTGTATACTCATGAGTGACTAATGTACATTGTACTTATTCTGCATCTAACTGAGACATAAGATTTATTTGTCTATAAAGCAATATGGCCTGTCAGTGCAACAGTACAAGAAAAATGGCAAACATGCTGGTTTTAGCTGCATAAATAGGGACATTACATAACCTCTGCATTTGGCTTTACCGTGGCTTTACTTGTTTCTAGCATATGGCATTCAATTCTCAACGTCCATGACAGACACTGAAATCAGACAGAATCAGAAAAAGACATAAAGACTGTTTAAGTTGGGAAAATAGGCTGTATCAAAAACACAAACCATTTAGCTTGTCAAACACAGAGTGAAGGGATCTGCTTGATACTAGTGAAAAAACAACTTTCATAAAGAGTTTTCCTACTCAATATAAAAATATTTTTGTTTCGGAATACAATGTGAACAAATTTAAATTATAAATAAAGTGTCTATTTTTTTTTTTTTGGCTAGGAGAGGTAGTTATCAGTGAAAATAATTTGGCACATCTTATTGAGACTGTTTAAGTTGGGAAAATAGGCTGTATCAAAAACACAAACCATTTAGCTTGTCAAACACAGAGTGAAGGGATCTGCTTGATACTAGTGAAAAAACAACTTTCATAAAGAGTTTTCCTACTCAATATAAAAATATTTTTGTTTCGGAATACAATGTGAACAAATTTAAATTATAAATAAAGTGTCTTTTTTTTTTTTTTTTTTGGCTAGGAGAGGTAGTTATCAGTGAAAATAATTTGGCACATCTTATTGAAGACCATAATGAACTCTCTAATAGTGGCAAATTATTAATCAAGGTATTCCTAGACATATCTAAATAAACATACTAAACCTCAGGTGTTGCTAGTGGCACACATTACATAAATCACCAGACTAGAGGATCACAGTTTTCTCTTATTTATACAAAATTTAGCTACATATATGAATGAAGGGAACAGCGCAGTTTAAGACCCTTGCATTTAGTGTCTCAGCTTAAAACTTGAATGGAAAAGGACACCTCTTCATGCCACAAAGATGAAAAACTGAAAAGCACACTTAATCGGAAAATTTACTGGAAGTTTTAAGAAAGTCTGCAGAAAACTTGTGTAAACCATAACAATCCTTGAATACTGCAAGTCAGCAAAACATGTTTGAGAACAAATTAGAATGTGATGGTGTTCATCCATTCACTTGAGCTGAGGCCAGCTCCATGAGGTTCAACAAGGTCAAGTGCTGGGTCCCGCCCCATGTCAGAACAGTTCCCAGCAGTGCTATAGGCTGGGACAGAGTGGCTGGAAAGCTGGTGGTTTTGGGGATGCTGTTTGACAGCAGATGAATATAAGCCAGCTGTGCCCAGGGGCCAGAAAGACAGTGGCATCCTGGTGTGAATCAGCAACTGCGTGGCCAGCAGGACCAGGGCAGTGACTGTCCCCCAGTATTCAGCACTGGTGAGGCCACACTTGAAGTTCACTGTCCAGTTCTGGGCTCCTTACTACAAGAAAGACTTTGAGGTGCTAGACCATGTTCAGAGAAGGGCAATGGATCTGGGAAAGGGTCTGGAGCACAGGTTTGATGAGGGGTGCCTGAGAGAGCTGGGAATGTGTCGTCTGGGGAGGCTCAAGGAAAGACCTTTTCACCCCCTACAACTGCCTGAAAGGAGAGTGCAGCAACATGGGGCTGGGTTCATCTCCCAGGCTTACAGCAACAGCACAAGAGGACAGAGCCTCAAGCTGCACCATGGAAATTTTATGTTGGACATCAGGAAGAATTTCTTTGTGGAAAGGGTTGTTAAACATTGGAACAGACTGTCCAGGGAGATGGTGGAATCATCATCCCCAGAGGTGCTCAAGAAACAACTGGATGTGGCACTCAGTGCTGCGGTCTAGTGGTGAGCAGTCAAAGGTTGGGCTCAATGATCTTAGATGCATTTTCCAGCCTAAAAGATTCAGTGTGTGATATGCAGGAGAAAGACCACAGCATAAAGAGGAGTCACATAAAAACAGAACTGAAAAAGTGCTGTTTGTTACAATCTAGTCAATAAATTGAAGTGAGGAAGTAAAGAACACCA